ACCTTGTAACCAATCAGATCAACGTGTGATCGTCAACCAGTGGATCTCTGAGCTGAGTGAGTGGAGGCGGGGCTCATTTGCATATTCATAGAACAGCACATACTAAATGATTTGTGGCAGGTGGAGGACATACAGTGTCCTAAAATCAATTCAACACCAGTGTTTTCTCTGAAGGTACTCATTGTGCCACTGCCATCCAACAATGACTCCTGTGGCTACTCAGTTCTTCAACTCCATTTAGATCCAATCACATATTATTTGATTAACTTCATGTTTTCTTAAACTAAGCCTTCAAAAGGGACACGTAACGTAGAATAGGAGATGAATTGTGTATAGGAGTCAAAATCGGCTAAGAGGTAGGCCTAATTAAATGTAACAAATCATGTAAAATCTATCATCTTTTATTGGAAAATTAAACAACATTTTATCAAACTGTATTATTTGTTTTAATCTTATAAGCAACCGAGAAGATAATATTCAAACTACATTAATAAAATAAAATCAAGTTCATAATATATAATATCATGTCAGTATATAATATATTAAATCAGTCAAATTGGCCGACTACAGCGACTCGTCTCAGGATCACTCATTTAATAGTTCATCCGTTGCCAAAATTATGAAAAAAGGTCAGCCAAAAATAGAAAATTGTTGAAAATATTCAAATCAGGAATGTCAGAATCAGATTGCGTAGTTCTTGATGATAAATGTCTATCGAAACATCCAGTAGTGTGGGTTTTTCTCAGAATTTTCTCTGCTTCTCGTAAATACGGATTGTAAGTTATTAATGATTTATTTCTTAGCCGGCCAGTATTCAGTGAAGCGAATGATGGCCATGAGGGAGTTTCGCCTGTTTTTAGTTGTAATATTCCAACTGTCAGCCAGCATACGTTTATGACGGACGTGATAACATGCGTAAGAGGTGAACTAGCCTATGTTTGATTTTTGGCTAATTATAAAACATGCTGGAGAAGTTCGCAATGCTTTTTGTGTAGTTCATTATACTTATTTTATGGAATGATGTTTATTTCGGGGCTTAAATAAATGACATTTTACTCAGAGACTGACATGTTTAGCTTGTCAAAAATGTAACATTCAGCTGTCGCAAGTTCATTGACTTGAAAATCAAGTTTCCTTTTTTACCAGGAAAGGAGTGGTTTTGATGAACAAAGTTGTCTCTTATAACAACAATCTTTTATTCAAACCCATGAAAATGCAGGTCCGGTTGTAAATAATAGTGAAAAATCACTTTTTTAAACTGTTGTTCCATTTTTGCAGATTCTTCAGAAGATTGACTTCTGAAGGCAATTTGTCAGTATCAAGTTTATTTGACAGCATGAGCAAAGCCTTGGATACATTTACAGAAGTTTCGTAACACATGCCACCATTTATAATCTTCCAGTTGGCAGAGTTGCACCACTTTATCAACCTCAAGCTCCTTAATGTCACATTGTTCCTCTTTTGAAGAAGTGCAAAGACCTTTGTGAAACGTTTGTCTGTGTGAGTGAAGTGTTCTGTTTGATACATGTGGCTTTTCCTTCACATCGTCATTTGAACAATCGGTCAATGATACCATGAGCCTCGTGTGTGACATGAAACCGTTGTTGCTTCATCTGAAGTGACTGACTGAAAAGGCCACTCATTCATTGAAGGAATCGTCAGGAAAAATAATTTGTTGAGAATGTCCAAATAATGTTCTTATGATTTTGAAAAACTTTTCATTTTAAATGTAAAATATCTAAAAATGTTGGTGTAAGCATCATGTAATACGTAATAACCTATTGAAAAAAACTTGTATAGTATACTGGAGTTGTACCACATGACATTTTACAACCTGATAGAGGTGTCACAATATATCGGAATACAAAAATGCAACAATATGTATTGTGTATAGTTCACTCAAAATAAAAATAACTGTTTTAGTGTCAGCACTACAGTAAACTGCTATAATGTTGAATTTAATGTATAATAATGCAATGGGGGAATATTTGTGTGTCCTGATGATGCCAAATGTCTGATGTTACCAGTAAAGTGTCCGACATTATTATAAATATATCTAGTCAGTGACGGAGTACAAGCATATTCGCCTTAAATAATTCCGTATTTTCAGCTCCAGAATCATGAATATTGTTATTCTGGTGTCTCTATTGTCCTGTGCTTTGGGTTTCAGCACCAAGTCCATCCTATTCATTTACACACACAATGTAACACCAAATTTAGCGTTTTAATCAACAGTACATTTATTGTTAACCTTTTATCATGTGTCTTGGAGTATCGCAATAATATCGTATCGTGAGTTCAGTGTCGGGGTATCGAATCGTGACATGAGGGCATCGCTACACCCCTACAGACCTGGTTAACCTTGTTGACTGGGAGTGCAGCGGTGCGCTCTGATATCACTTCCTGTTTTGTGTTTTGCTTGTTTTTCTGCATGCTGGGTTTGCAGTGGATTTCACCCGAGGACATTCTGAGCAAGTCAAAGCTGACAGCACTCCTGTGTCTATGCCTACAAGTGCTGTCCCAGCATCATCTCACGGGCTCTGAGCTGCAGCCCTAACAGGATCATGAAAGCTCAAGGAGATTTCCTCATAACTGCTGCGAGAGCATTGCATTCATTACGCTCAAGACTGTTTTCTTTTCATTCATTTCACAATGGCCACAAGTAGATAACATTACTTACTAAACAGAGGTATCTCTTAGTGTTTCTATCTGCAATCACTGGTGACCTTTAAACAGACTCATGTCTTCCGTGGAGATCTAGTCAATAACTGGGTTTATCACACTAGATTCCTGACGGGAAGCTGCTGTTAATGTCAGTAGTGTTCCTTCACTCAGATCCGACTAAAACATGCGTTAGACTTTGAGCTTGTTTTATAGACGTGTCTGATAAAGATGTCTGATTTCCATAGTCTATGAACTCTGATCTTAACAAACAAGGGAAAACAGGCAAACCTAAACTCTGCGGTCAGATTTTCACTCATGCTCCTGACTTCTCTTGTGAAAATGAAAGTGGACAGTGTTTCGAGTTCAGTTCCAGTAATTCCTCATGCTCCGTCATGTGGCTAGAGTGTGGTCCATTACTCGCCAGATACAAAAGACACTGGAATTAAATAATCAGCCCTCTTCTGGAAACAGAAACATTCCTGGGCCGCCGGGATCGAGTCATAGTGACCGGCCACTCACAGTCTTATGCTCATGCTGGAGTTAAACCAACAGCTTATCCTAAAATTAAAATGTTCATTTACTCACCATCGGCCCAATTCTGTGTGACTGACTCTCTCCTGTGGATATCACATGATGTTTAGCACAGTGTTCACACTGTTCATCTCGTCTAGTCCTCTGAAGTCATATGTTCTCTGTGTGAGGTGCACACCAAAATAAAACTGTTCACAGAAATCCTTATTTGCATTTCTAAACTTGGTGTGTTTCCATTTAGCATCATTGTTGCGAAACCTGCCGCGGCACGCTTTGACTCAGCATATTTGAATATATACTACAAAATAGATGAGAGAGCAGTGGAGGAGGGGAGAGACTTTCAATGAAAAATAACAACTTCTCACAAAGCTTTTATATGGCATTTAATATTCAGCATTATTATTGATCTCCTGCATTGACACCATTATATGAGAGCTGAACTGAGCTGGACGATGACATCACGGTTTTCTCCAGAGTGGCTATATATATATATAAATGAACTAAATTAATAACTTTTTTTTTTTTACAACAGAAATGAACCATCACTGAACTTACATAAGCTGGACTAAGATGCTATTTTCTTCTAGATACAAACTTTGTTGCATTATTTTCCTGTTATCTCTGTAAAGCTGCTTTGAGACACTGTATTGTAAAAGCGCTATAGAAGTAAAGGTGACTTGACTTGACATGAGAAGATGAATATAGCACACAAGTCATATTTTGTTTTGACAGCGTCCATCATGTAAAACTCGTTTGAACTTGTGTTTCTTTCTTTCAGTGTACTTTGAGCAGCACTGAATTTGGAAGAATTCCTCTCTTTGGTCATATGCACATCTTTTGGTAACTGAAAGACTGTGGGCCCTATTTTAAGGATCTAAGCTCATGGTCTAAGGCTAGTTTAACGACGGGAAAAATGGTCGGCGCTCCCGGCGCATGGTCTAAAAGGGTCGGCCCTATTCTCTTAATGAGTAATGGGTGTGTTTTGTCCCTATTCTCTTAATGAGTAATGGGTGTGTTTTGTCCCTATTCTCTTAATGAGTAATGGCTGTGTTTTGTCCCTTTTCTCTTAATGAATAATGGGTGTGTTTTGGGCAGTAAACCAATCAGAGTCTCATCTCCCATTCCTTTTAAAAGCCAGTTGCGCTCGTCCATGACGGATTCGCTATTTACACGGCGGAATTTGCAAGTGGAAAAACTGAACGCTTCTCTAGCGAGGAAACAGATCTGCTCGTGCGTGAGGTTAAAGCTGTGTGTGTGTGTGTGTGTGTGTGTGTGTGTGTGTGTGTGTGTGTGAGAGGTTAAAGCTCGCAAGCTGATCATCCACGGGACAAAGTGTAGCGTGTTGTGCACCCGCCTATAGGCGCACATAACTAACCCGCTCTTTAAATAACAAAAAAATACTGCGCCATTGACTTTAGAGCAGGGTTCAGTTGGTCAACGGCTCAGTCTAGTTCAGTTCCTCAAACTGCAACGCTCCACCAATGCGCCTGAACACACACCTGGTTCTCAGACCAGCAGCCCATGGGCCACAGATGGGTGCAAATGCATTTGCTAAATTAAACAATGTGGCGCAGGAGGTGAAAATGATAAGTGCGTCGGGCTGAAACTAGCTAAACACACTTGCGTCGCGCCTGGCGCTGCGTTGTGCCGAGTGTGTGATAGGGGCCATAGTCTCTGTTTTGATCTGACGTCATGTCCTCCTGCAACTGATGATGAGCCTATATTTGAACAAGCCTTGTCATCCCGTTCAGTTAATATGATGTCAGTGTAAAGCATGTGAGTTTAACTGTGTCTTGTTCTTGCAGGGAGAAGCGTTTGATCGTGTCGGCGGCTCCTCTACACACGCACAGAGTGTTGCCAAAGCCAAGTACCAGTTTCTCTTTGGAAACACAGAAGACACAAGCTCATCAGATTGCGGTACTGTATGTTCTTGCCTACTTTACTTGCATGTGATGTATTGTATTCTTACACTTGACCATTTTCCCTATCACTTCTGTGTGTGATGCTATATTTTCTGCTGCTAACGTAATGATGACGTAATCATTAAAAACACTGATTTATTTTATTTTAAAAAGCCACTGAATCAACCTAAATACATCCATTTATACCAACACAACGTTTTATGTGTTAAAGCATATTGAAATAGCTCTTAAGATAACAATTGCAGGTTGCCACTCTATAGCAAACATAACGCTTTACTGGTGAAACCTGAAGGCAGTCGATGAAGTGCATTTGGTATGACAATAAATAGTCAATGGGGATATTTTTATAATTATAATAATAATACTCAGTCCTCATACATAATGCACTTTTGAGAGAGGCAACCAATTGGAGAGTAGATCATCAACATGAGTCACCACCAAAATTGTGATTATTGATGTAGTGATAATTATAGCAACATTTAGGCTTCAGTTGAACTAATTCGATGTCTGCTATTTTTGGCATATTATCCAGCCAACGCATTTTGTCTGGCCATTTTAAGTTAACAACTGTTGACTCATGAAGCGGCTGCTGGTAAACAGCATATTTTCTTTCAGTGGTGCCATTATAACGCATATTTGGGCTTATTTTGGAGAAACTTTTTTTGGGCATGTCAGACCCAGTTTTTCTAGCAAGATCTGGCAACACTGGTCTTTCCGGAGAGTAATGTATGGGATTTCCCTAAGACCACGGGGCTCATGGGAGAAACTTTGGTGAGAGAGAACATACCAAAAAAAAAAGATTCAGTGAAGAAACATACCTTTGTTTAGCATCTAATGGCATCCATTTTTGAGCTGGCATTGTAAAAAAGAAGGCGATGTCACTGTGTAATCGGCTAATTGTTCAGATGTTATATAAATGTGATTGTCTCTGATGTAATTTAGTTGTTTAATGTGGATATCACTGACATGATTAATGAACTGTGCATACAGAACGTGATTAAACTCTCAGTAAAGACACGTTTTCAAGACGCGCTCCTCCAAGATCCCAGTGCTTCTGTATCAGGGGTGTGTCATGCCTCAGTGGCAGCGTTCATGATGAAACCTGTTTCAGGAGGATACACACATGAGTCACGAAGCTCAGAGGCTCAGAAACCAACTGAGCACAGCAGTGACCTTACATCCCAATTCATATAATCTACTGTGCACTTGAAGCAAAGCTGTTCAAACTGGACTCTAGAGACCCCAGGGATTCTGCACAAAAGAGGGAATATTTCTCACAAGCAATTGGAAGTCTTTTAATGTTTGTCTTGATATTAATTGTTAAAGACAATGAATTTGTACACAAGCCCTGCTTTGTTGGCTGTAGCTTTTGGTAAGATTAATTAAGAAACCAGTTTTTCAAATCTAAAAAACGTCTCTTTGCCAAATGGTTTGCTTATGCCTGTGATGTTTTTCTTTACAATAAATGCCACCAGCTTTAATATTTTATATCTTTTGACAATCAGACATTTTTAAGTGTGGCTCATGTGTCTAATCTTAATCTCACACACTGTAAGAGATGTATTGTAAGCTTGATTATATTTCACTCAGTCTGTAAATCCTCTATAGTGAATGCTGCCCCCTGGTGAAGAGTTTCAGCAGTTCTCAACAAACATGACTAATCTGCATGATGCTCAAACAGGTTCACAGTTAGATGATTAATGTTTGACAGACCCTCACATTTCAACCTGTGCATTAAAAAAAGTACAATTCACACATACAATGACCTGATTACACTTTTTCTGTAATGACCCATTTTTAATTTCTGATTAAAAATACATTTTTATAATTTTGAAATAGCATAAAGTAAAGAAATGTCAGGGTAATATAGTTGTCCAGATGTCATAGAAAAGTTCTCAATAAATTATGGAAAGAAAACCTTAGGTTTTTAAGTACATATTCTTTTAAGTGTTCATTCTTTGGGGTAAAAAAATGCTTATTAATAAATGAAAACCGTTTTTCTGTCAAAACAGAATCATTTGTCAAATCACCTTCATTTTGTATAGCGCTTTTAACAATATGGATTGTTTCAAAGCAGCTTTACAGTGATAAAAGGAAATTAAAATAACAGAGATTGTTTAGGCTTTACAGCAGCTCTAGAATAAAGTTATTGTCCAGCTAAAGTTAGTTTTGATTGATTCACTTCCGTTGCGAAGATCATTAGTTATTAACTTAGAGGCCGCTAACACGACACCGCTCTAACAGAAAACCCTTAATGTGCTCCGGCCGCTCACTCGCACAACAGCAGTGCCTGCGGCTCGAGAACACACTCCCTGAAATAGTCAAACGGTTATCAGTTATCTCTGCGCAAACCTTGAAATGCAAACCCTCGAAAACACAGACGTCAAGCACATGCGCATCACGTGTTCAGTCCATAGGTATGCACGTTTGAATATATATGTGCGCAGGCGTGTAGTCCTTTACAAATCAACCCTCAACAAACTACTTGTCTGGCCTTAAATTCATAATACAGAATTTTTTATCACTTCCGTGTGCCATGTGAACCGAAATAATCTTGACAACGATTATCTGTACAGAGGTAAAGGGAAGGAGGCCTTCACAGGGAGAGACTAGTGACACTTCAGGACTGCGTTGTCGTCGTGTACAGGCGCAGGTCCTCCATCAGATCTGGATACGGCCTGGATCCGGCGGACTGCGGTAAACCTCGGGATAAACAGAGAGACTAATATTAGCGTAGACGCCATCCTTCTATGATGTAACGAGTACATCAGGATTTATGGGAAGTGTTCCCGGTTCCGGCTGACCTAATCTATAACATTGAATTAGAGAAGTCTATAGTGTGTTATGTGTCGGGGTGTCACGATTCTCCAAATCCTCGATTCGATTAAATTTTTGATTCTAAGGTCACGGTTCGATTCTCGATTTCTACTAGGGGTGTCCCCGACTAAGGATTTTCATAGTCGAATCAGATTCGTCAAGTCCTGCCTATAGTCGACTAATAGTCGAATCATGTGTGTGGTGTTGGGGAGGGGGCGGGGCTTTAAAATTTATAACATAAATAACTGCAGAAAGGCCACACTGGAGATAGGATTTGCACTTCACATGCAAATCAAATTAAATCGGCTGAATTGCCTGTACGAGCATGCTCTAAGTAGGCCTACAGCGCAACATCGATGCACTGAAAAATAATCAACAATTAAGAACACAGTATACATTTATAATAAATAAAAATACAAAACGAAATAAGTCAGAATCAAGTCACAAGAAGCAGAACAAATGTGTGCAAAATGCCTAAAGTGCAGGGGAACAAATATTCAAAACACAAGTCACAAATAGTTAAATTAGATCACCCTGAGTGATCAATTAATAAAATAAAAATAAAGAAATTATTAAAATAACGAAAGTATGGCCAGGATTGTCAACTTTGTCTTTTTAACTGCAGAAACAACAATAAACGCTAAACTGGAGCGGCAGTCTCTTTAGCTAAACGTGTTCACAGTATCCAAAAATCAAATTAGAACCGGCTGAAATGTTTTGAAATCACTTGTACCCATACCTGATCGAGAAAACTAAATCCAGCCTTTCACTCGGCCTGTGTCCGTTTGAGTCTTTTCAAATTGTGTGCGCGGATAAAATACATTCTAAAACGCTTAACGTGAAAAACGCTTAACGGCTTTGTCCTAAAACTGTTACTGTTATATTAAAAGATCAAATTCTGCACACACCTTAATAATAAAGCATACTATATAGCCTACAGAAAAGTAGATGAGCCCAGAATATGAACGCAACGTGTTTTATTATAGGCTACGTTAAGCATTTCCTCCCATAGAAAACCGTTAAAGAAAAAGCTTTACGTGACTTTCTATAGGAGAAACGCGTGCGTTCATATTCTGGGTTCATCTGCTTATCTGCACATGGAATGGTTAAGGTGTGTAGCCTACTGTGTACATACATTAAGCACGTAAAAGTGCCATTTAAGCGTTTTAAAAGCTTTTTTCACGTTAAGCGTTTTAGAACGTCCCGAGGAAAACCAACCTGTTAACGTTGGCCGGCAGAAGTGCGATCATGGTTTTCCTGATGCTAAATCCAGCCTTGGAGAATATCCTTTCTGACGGTGTGCATCTTTAGATTTTCTTATCCCAGACATTTTTAAAGATTTAAATCCCTGCCGACAAGACGCTCCTCTGTCGCTCACGGATCGAAAGTGAAACTTAAATCTGTCTCGGGGTGTTTGGAGTTATTCACGCTGCACGCACGTTAAAAAATATTTATCAAAAGCTTCTTTCTTTGCACATTTTTATTGACAGCATTATCATAATAGGCTGTATATTAACATATTGACAGAAAACCAGTAGTTCTATGTGAAATCAGACATTGAGCACACTCATATGGCCAAAATGACATAATCCTCGTTTAATAACACATCTGCGAAGATTCGACCGTGAGATTGGTAGTCGAATCAGGCTCCTCCTATCGAAGCATCGAATCTTCGACTATTCGGGGTCACCCCTAATTTGTACATTTATTTTTTTTAAAGCCGAAACCGGCCAATCAGGATTCTCTCTATCTTACATGAGTCAACACCTACTGATCTCTATTCTTCATGTTGTGTTTTCTCAAACAGTGACCTCTCCAACCCAAGCGAACCAGGAAAGCGGCTCAGGTCTTGAGGACGATGACATTGACGAGACGTCCCTCTTCCAGGAGATTGACCGTGAGCTGTCGAAGCTGTTGAGTGGCCTGAGCGCTCGCAGTCATGATGCCTCGGCCCAACTGGACTCGACGCCCGCCTCACCCATGATCCCCTGCAGCGGACACAACCCAAGCCCGACGCCAGCCCTGGACATGGCCAAGAACGGCCCGTCTGAGCTCGTGGGAGACTCTCTGCTGTTCGACTCGTGGTGTGAGGCGCTCATCAAGGACCCCAGCTCCGTCATGGCGGCCGCCAGCGAGATGGGCTGCTTCACACGGGACCCCAGGCCTGCAGCGCCCAGCCCGAATGACTCCGACGCCAGCCCGACTCCAGCTGCGGAAAACACTGGGAAGGAGACGGAGGGCAAGAGGGCAGGAGCAGAAGAACCCGTGGACGAGTCTCTAGAGGAGTCCAACAAAATCCTGGCCGAGATCCCGGGCATCTTCAGCGGCTTTCTGGAAGGGGGCAAACTGCGGGACAAGCCGCCGAAGAAGCTGCGGTTTGTGGAGAGCAGGGCAGAGAGTGTGGCGAACGGAGACATGCAGAACTGCAGTGTGAAAGAGGAACCGAGTCGGGACACGCAGATCTCAGACGCCACAGGAGCGGCTCAGGGGCGAGAGCTCGATCACAGACCCGACCACACACACACAGGAGACAACGCCTCTGACAGGTACAGTGCCTCATCACACTCCTCCTCTCGCCGTAGGGACAGCAGATAGCAGAGAGAGACCGGCAGTCATTCATATTATTCACACTTTTCTATTTAAATCTAAGACATAGTTAAACCGGTGTGTGTTGAACAGGAAACAACCGTGTTCACAGGTAAATTAACTCCTTACATTTTTATTATTTTTGTCTTGTTTGCATATTTTTATGTAACTACACAATTATTTGGGTAACACTTTACAATAAAGTTCACATTAGTTAACTACCTTAGTTAACATGAACTAATAATGAACAATACTTCTACAACATTTATTAATCTTAGTTAATGTTAATTTCAACTTTTGCTAATACGTTATTAAAATCAAAGGTTGTATTTGTTAACATTAGTTAATGCACTGTGAACTAACATGAACAAACAATTAACATTAAGAAAGATGAATAAATACTGTAACAAATGTTTTAGTTAGTTCATGTTAGTTAATTCATTATTAGTTCATGTTAGCGAATTCATTAACTAATTGTACCTTATTGTAAAGTGTTAACATTATTTACATTATTAATGTTTTTGAGCTATTCATACGTTTATTATACTTCTTAAATTGTTATTATGTGAAAAATCTAAAATAAAGCTGTAATTAAAAGATGTTTTTTGCTGGGTTGCCGAGTCCTCGGTGTTCCTGTGGTATTGGCTTCCTTTTTAACCGTTGCCACAAGTGGATTTACTTCCTGTGGGTTCAAGGTTTGACATTTTGCAAAAATAGTGTTTGAAATATTTGACCCATTTTATATTCTAGCAATGATCAAAACGTGCTAGAAAATATTTTTTTTTAAGGAAAGACACTGGAAGGAAGCCTTTCAGCTCCTGCGTGCTCATTTATGAAAACACAATTACTTCTAGGGATTCTGAAGTTGTGTATAATGCACAACGGTGCCTGTAAAATATGTATTTTAGGTGTGGGAGTGGCATATTTTGATATATGGGCTAGTTTTGTTACGCAGACCTGGCAACCCTCATTATCAGACGCTTTATCATTAAAATAATCAGTATTGTATTTCTTATCTCTTTTTAATAGCAATTTAACTTTTTTGGAGACATTTTTAAACGAACACAACATTTTTCATAGACAGCATCTTAACTAAGTGAAACGCTCTGCATGGGCTGTGATGTTTTTAGTATTAAACTGAAAAATTTGGATATTTATAATTTGCATTTTTCTTGACTTGTTTTGCTGTCACATTGCATTTCGGTTTTGCCACAATCTAGAAGGCAATATCATTTTGCTGTCAACCTTTAGGAGTATAGCCGTCAGGTCTGGAGTACAGCTATCTGGATATACTGTATATGTGTATCTCTCTCTCTCTCTCTCTCTCTCTCTCTCTCTCTCTCTCTCTATATATATATATATATATATATATATATATGTGTATATAGTCCACTTTAGACCGTCTACTCTCCGCCTACTGACCTAATGTGTAAACACTATGGGACGCGCTCTAGCCAGACGGGATTTAAACTTTGTTGACTGGAGACACAAGTTTGGTTTGAACTTTGAAGATGAAAAATGTACCAAGCTCAATGTTCTCTCACCATTCCCGATTTCTAACACACACTCGCTGTGTTCGGCTGGTCTTCGGCTGTCAGAGCAGAAACTAAAGCTGATGCTCTCGTGTGTGTTTCTCCTGCAGTTCATATGTAAGTTGCGTGAACAGGGCCATAGAGAGAGACACACGCCTGCACTTTACACACTGCAGAGTCCAAGTGCCCTGTTCATCAGCTCATTACTGTATACAGTCGGTTCTCTACGGTTTCGCTTCCTTTATTCTTTCTGCCTGGTGTTCGTCAGAACTGGTCAGGCTCAATAGAGGAAGCGTTGTTCACTTTCAGCTGTAAGAGGAACCAGGCTTGTGGCTTTATAATGGAATCGGCATTTCTAACTTCCTGTGGGCGGCTCTCATGAATTTGTTTAGAAAATATACAGATCATAAATAACATCTAGCATAAAGTTGCATTGTCATGGCAATTAACATATCTGTTGTACGACCTAAAATTATGTGTTAAATTATAATTTCATAAAAGTCATTGGTAACACTTTACAATAAGGTTCATTAGTTAACATTAGTTAATGTATTAACTAACATGAACTAACCATGAGCAATACATTTGTTACAGTGTTTAATAATCATTGTTAATGTTGGTTAATAAAATACAGCTGTTCATTGTGTGTTCATGTTAGTTCACGGTGCATAAACTAATGTTAACAAATGCATTTAAATGTTGAAATTTAATATGAACAAAGATTAATAAATGCTGTAGAAGTATTGTTTATTCTTAGTTCATGTTAACTAAGGTAGTTAACTAATGAACCTTATTGTAAAGTGTTACCCAATCATTGGTAACATAATACAGTATTTCAGTAATAAGATGCATAAATGCTTTATGGAAATGATAGTTTGAGAAGAAATGTGCTTCATTTATGAACTATGATCCTAAAAGGCTATGTATTTTTTTTTAATGCAACTGTAATTCTTCTCATTCTGGGGTGAGATCATGTGACCCTCCCTGTTTTCGTGAAACTCACTCTTACGGCGTGTGTTGCCAGATTAGCATATGTCGTAGCATACGCTTGAGTTTTACCCATCATGAGTTCTCCTGAAGTAGGACATGTAAAGGTACGCGTGTCACAAAGCCAGCTTCTGTTGAGGTGTTCCTGTTTCGCGCTGTTGTTGAGATGTGTGTGTGTGTGTTCCAGGAGTCCTGAAGGCGAGAGTGACTCCACAGATGTCTTCAGCTGCCGGTTCGAGAGCATCCTGGAGTCTGAGCGTCTGCGGGCGACTCTCTACAGCAGCATGGACTCGCTGGACCCTCAAGCTGAAGCTGAACCCGAACCCCGGTCCCAAACCGCCCCGGAGCCCTCCTTCGCCCTCGACATCCCCCTCACGCCCATGATCCAGCAGCGGCTGAAGGACAGAAGCCTGTTCCTGGCCCCCCCGGACCCGAGCTCGGACACTGAGGTGCTGAGCGTCTCCAAGCCGAGCGGGGGGGCGGCGCTGGAGCTCACCTCGTCCTTCCTCTCCACAGCGAACGGTGGAAACCACAGAGACTGGCTGACGGGCTGTTTAAGGTAGCGACACACACTTCACAAAAAAAACGCAACTCTTTTTGACTTTCACATGGTTGCAAAAATTGTAGATGTGTAGCTTTTTTTTTTAGCACTGGGCATAGTTTGATTAAAGCTGAAGAGCTTGTGTGTGTGTGTGAGAGAGAGAGAGAGAGAGAAAGAGAGAGAGATAGAGATTATATGGCGCCCTCTGCTGAAAAGTCTTATAAACTGCACTTAAAGTCCCCCTGTAGTCAATAATTTTATCCCTAAAACTCATCTTTGTTCACCAAAATGACATTTAAGTGTTTTTTTCTTGAAAAAAAATTCTTCATGCCTTAAAATATCTTGAATGTAACTCGACACTCTTGCCTCATTTAGTAAACGCGGCTCTATGAATATGCAAATGAGCCCCGCCTCCACTCACTCCCTCAGCTCAGAGATCCACTGGTTGACGATCACACGTTGATCTGATTGGTTACAAGGTCGTTTGTGACGTCAGAAACACCAGCGATTTCACACCGTGTTTTTGAGACTGTCTTTGGTTCACTGCAGTTTAAGGAGAAAATACTCAGCAATGCTGTCGACTTATGCTTTAAGACAAACCATGTGTAAGTTCATATTAATAACACCACATAGACATGTAAACAACATTAAAAGCTGGGTTTTCACCACAGGGGGACTTTAACTAAAACCATCAAACACCTTCGTCACTTTAGATAAAGTAACTATTATTTTTATACATTTATATATAACTTCTATCATTTCAGCTAGTTTCCTGGGCAGCATTTCTAATGTTCATCTAGTTTAACTTGATGTACTAAAATAACTAAAACTAAAACATTGAAATTTAAAAACTTACAAAAAAAACAACTTTAAACATATTTTATTTCAGCTAGTTGCGAAGGTTTTTTTTTAAAACTAAAATAGAAAAACAAATTATAAATAAAAACTATGTACATAAATTAAAAAAAATATTACAAATATTAAAAAATACCAAAACAGAATTACTAAAACTTTAACATTAAAATGGAGAGTTTAACTGTAAAACTGTAAAAAATTATACTAATCTCAGTGATACTAAAATAATTTTCAGAAAGTCTTTTTTCAAGATAACTGTAATCCATAAATAAGAGTTAAGAAGTGATAAAAGTTGTCTGAAAGACATCAGACTCTAGTACGTCACAACAGTAGTATAGTTATTATACAGGGTTCCTACGCAGTTTGGAAAAGTATTGATAATATTTGTGTTTCCAGACTATTTCCCCTATTCAGTTTTCTCAAATATAAAATTAGGAATTTCTAAAAATAAACTGATCATACAAACAGAGTGATTTTATGGCAAAAGTTTAGTGATTAAATGTATATGAAGTTAATGTAACTGATGTCAGAAAGAGTTGCACACTTCCAGTGGCAAGCAGCGAGTGTGTGCTAGTGAGCATCAGCAGAGCTCAACTTTAGGATCAGGAGAGCAGAGTACGCATAGACCTGTTCTGATCCGCTGTGTTTTGTGATTGATCGTATCGCATTACACACATTTTTCCCGGTCAGTGTGGACAGAATAAGTGCTTGTCGCTGGAAATGGACTGGTTAGCAGCACTAACTCAAGCGGTTTCATTGTAAAGCATCATCTCAGGTTGGAGCATCAGTGTTCATTTTACAGTGTCGTCAAGCAGGGCTCAATCCAATGTCCGAGTCAGAGCTAAATCATTTATTACATCCGTTACATATGACCTTATTTGACTTTCATTACATTACAAATATGTTTATTGATCTTTTCTTACTATGATCTTTTTAAAAGCCACCATTTGCAACTGTTGCTTAAATTACTTCCGTTGATTCCATTATAAAATCAACTGTATTTATAATTTGTCTTATTTAAAACTGGAACAGAAACCCAATAGATGAAAACTTATTTTTGATTTTGCTGATGTCGATACTTTCATATTTATTTTTAGAGGTGTTCTTTACAGTTTCATTACACTTTCATTATTTCATATTTATCGTGACTGAAGCTCATTTTATACACTTATATGCTTCCTCTGGCCATATACACCCTGCAAAGGGACAATCGCATTAAAGAAATACGGGAATAAACTCACAGCCGTGGTAATCAAAGCAACATCTTCAGGCCTTGTGGATGCAAAGAAGAAACCAGAGATGCATTTAATGTCCGATATGTTTATTAAACCTCTGATGACAGAGCCAGTGTATTGTGTTCTTAAAGGTTTTAAAGCTTTTTAATGCCAAGGACCCTTCAGGAGGGACCCTTCATAAAATATAAAGCAGCTACTGTATACACAATTTATTTGATCAAAAATACAGTAAAAACAGTAATATTGTGAAATAGTATTACAATTAAAAATAGCTGTTTATGTGAATATATATAGTAAAGTGTAATTTATTCCTGTGATCAAAGCTGAGTTTTCAGCATCATTACTCCAGTCTTCAGCGTCACATGATCCTTCAGAAATCACTCTAATATGATTTGATGCTGAAGAAACATTTATGATTATTATCAATGTTGAAAACCGTTGTGCTGCTTCATATTTTTGTGGAAACTGTGATACATTTATTTTTCAGTATTCTTTGAAGAATAGAAATTTCAGAAGTACAGCATTTATTTGAAATAGAAATCTTTTGTAACGTTATAAATGTCTTAACTGTCACTGTTTGTCACTTTTTGACAATTTAATGTGGCTTTGTTGAATAAAAGTATAATTTAAAAAAAACAAAAAAACAAAAAAGTACTGTTAAAGGTGCAGTAAGCAATTTCTGTTGAAAGTGGATTGGACCGAGCACCACAACACACTTGTAGCCAATCAGCAGTAGGGGCGTGTCCACTCATGATGGGGGAGGATAGAGAGAGAGCCAATCAGCAGTAGGGGCGTGTCTACTCATGATTGGGGAGGTTAGAGAGAGAGCCAATCAGCAGTAGGGGGTGTGTCCACTCATGATGGGGGAGGAGAGAGAGAGAGCCAATCAGCAGTAGGGGCGTGTCCACTCATGATGGGGGAGGATAGAGAGAGGGAGCCAATCAGCAGTAGGGGCGTGTCTACTCATGATTGGGGAGGATAGAGAGAGAGCCAATCAGCAGTAGGGGCGTGTCTACTCATGATTGGGGAGGTTAGAGAGAGAGCCAATCAGCAGTAGGGGGTGTGTCCACTCATGATGGGGGAGGAGAGAGAGAGAGCCAATCAGCAGTAGGGGCGTGTCCACTCATGATGGGGGAGGATAGAGAGAGGGAGCCAATCAGCAGTAGGGGCGTGTCTACTCATGATTGGGGAGGATAGAGAGAGAGCCAATCAGCAGTAGGGGGTGTGTCCACTCATGATGGGGGAGAGAGAGAGAGCCAATCAGCAGTAGGGGTGTGTCCACTCATGATGGGGGAGAGAGAGAGAGCCAATCAGCAGTAGGGGCGTGTCTACTCATGATTGGGGAGGATAGAGAGAGAGCCAATCAGCAGTAGGGGTGTGTCCACTCATGATGGGGGAGGATAGAGAGAGAGCCAATCAGCAGTAGGGGTGTGTCCACTCATGATGGGGGAGGAGAGAGAGAGCCAATCAGCAGTAGGGGGTGTGTCCACTCATGATGGGGGAGAGAGAGAGAGCCAATCAGCAGTAGGGGTGTGTCCACTCATGATGGGGGAGAGAGAGAGAGCCAATCAGCAGTAGGGGCGTGTCTACTCATGATTGGTGGAGGATAGAGAGAGAGCCAATCAGCAATAGGGGTGTGTCCACTCATGATGGGGGAGAGAGAGAGAGCCAATCAGCAGTAGGGGCGTGTCCACTCATGATGGGGGAGAGAGAGAGCCAATCAGCAGTAGGGGTGTGTCCACTCATGATGGGGGAGAGAGAGAGCCAATCAGCAGTAGGGGCGTGTCCACTCATGATGGGGGAGAGAGAGAGAGCCAATCAGCAGTAGGGGTGTGTCCACTCATGATGGGGGAGAGAGAGAGAGCCAATCAGCAGTAGGGGGTGTGTCCACTCATGATGGGGGAGAGAGAGAGAGCCAATCAGCAGTAGGGGTGTGTCCACTCATTATGGGGGAGAGAGAGAGAGCCAATCAGCAGTAGGGGTGTGTCCACTCATGATGGGGGAGGATAGAGAGAGAGCCAATCAGCAGTAGGGGCGTGTCCACTCATGATGGGGGAGAGAGAGAGAGCCAATCAGCAGTAGGGGTGTGTCCACTCATGATGGGGGAGGATAGAGAGAGAGCCAATCAGCAGTAGGGGCGTGTCCACTCATGATGGGGGAGGATAGAGAGAGAGCCAATCAGCAGTAGGGGAGTGTCCACTCATGATGGGGGAGAGAGAGAGAGCCAATCAGCAGTAGGGGTGTGTCCACTCATGATGGGGGAGGATAGAGAGAGAGCCAATCAGCAGTAGGGGCGTGTCCACTCATGATGGGGGAGGACAGAGAGAGAGCCAATCAGCAGTAGGGGAGTGTCCACTCATGATGGGGGAGGATAGAGAGAGAGCCAATCAGCAGTAGGGGCGTGTCCACTCATGATGGGGGAGGATAGAGAGAGAGCCAATCAGCAGTAGGGGAGTGTCCACTCATGATGGGGGAGGATAGAGAGAGAGCCAATCAGCAGTAGGGGCGTGTCCACTCATGATGGGGAAGGATAGAGAGAGAGCCAATCAGCAGTAGGGGCGTGTCCACTCATGTGGGGGAGGAGAGAGAGCCAATCAGCAGTAGGGGCGTGTCCACTCATGATGGGGGAGGAGAGAGAGACTCTGTTCGCCACTTCCGGTGAGAGTACGCTGTGCGCAAAATGGCTGCCGCTGATCAGTTTGTTTGTTGATCATTTCATCATCAATTGTTCATGTCAACGTGTTGTTTTCTTCTGGGCGACACTGCTTTGAACGGGGCGTCTGGATGTGCTTTCTCGGGATATAAAATCTGGACTTAACGGGACAGTGTTGGATGTTTGAGTGAAGCATCTTGAACTGTTGTGTGATATTGGGACTTAAGTATCACATCTTCTGAAGTCCCTCTGACATTCCTTGGACAATTTTGGAC